ATGTTGAATCGAAATTTACTATGGTTCAATGGTTAGTAAAGTCAAATTGTTCAAATCAGGACACACCAGGTAGTAGAAATTATGTTGTTGAGATCAGATGCATTGGCCAAATATTTTACACCTGTCTTTATGTGGCAAGCAGGGACGGACTGACAGCCTTCTGGGCCCCCTGCCAAAATTAGATCCGGGGCCCTTTGAAGACAAAATATTAAAGGAGCACTATAGTGCCAGGAAAACAAACTCGTTTTCCTGGCACTATAGGGTCATTAGGTCCCCCCCCACCCTCAGGACCCACCTCCCGCTGGACTTAAGGGGGTAAAACCCCTTCAGCCACTTACCTTTCTCCTGCGCCGGACTACCTCGGCGCTGGGGAACTCTCCTCCCTCTGCCGACGTCAGATTTGAATGTGCATGTGCAGCAAGAGCCACGCGCTCAATTCAAACCGCCCATAGGAAAGCATTATTGTGTATGGGGGGGGGGGGCAGTGTGTGAATGTGTATGGTGTGTGCAGGGTCGGCCATGTGCGAAAAGTCTTCACGGCGCCCCCTCCACCCTCCAAACAAGTTGCCTTATATATACAGTTACACACACACAGGCAAAGGCAGACAGTCAAAAACAAACAGTTACAAGCCAACAGTCAGACACGCTCAGTTACAGGCAGACAGTCACACACACAGTTGCAGGCAGACAGTCACACATGCTCAGTTACAGGCAGACAGTCACAGAGCCAAACACACAGTTAAAGGCAGACAGTCACACACACAGTTACAGGCAGACAGTCACACACACAGTCACAAACAAACAGTCACACATACTCCTTTACAAGCAGACAGTCATACACACTCAGTTACAGGCATGCAGACAATCACGCTGATAAGCACACATACAGGCACACACAATGGCACAGCTACAGCGACACACACAATTGGAGTCACACACAGGCAGACAGTCACACACAGATAGTCACACACACTCACTGGAAAACCATCACACACAGGCAGACAGACAGTCCCACACACACAGGCAGGCAGTTACACAGATAGACAGTCACACAGGCAGGCAGACAGTCACACACACACACACACACACACACACACAAAGGCAGACAGTCACACACACATGGAGGCAGTCACACACAAACAGGCAGACAGTCTCACACACACACACAGACAGACAGTCACACACACACAGGCAGGCAGTCACACACTGGAAGGGAGAGTGGAAGCAGTCAGTTGTTGGGGAAGCAGGGACTCCTTCCTGCTACCCAGTTACCAGGGACTTCGGGTAGGTATAAGCCCCACCTCCGCCTTGCGATATGCCCCGCCCCACCACCTCAGGTTTTTTGCTCCCGTGTCACCCAGCCATGTGTGAGCTGTGTGGGCCACAGGGCGCCCCCTAGTCCATGGCGCCCTGTGCGGCCGCACAGCTCGCACACCCCTAAGGCCGGCTCTGGGTGTGTGTGGGGGCAGTGTATGTGTTTGTGGGGCAATGTGTTTATAGGGATGGCAGTGTGTGAATGTGTACGGTGTGTATGGGTCAATGTATGTATGGGGGGCAGTGTATGTGTGTGTGGGGCAATGTGTGTATGTGTATGGTGGTGTGGGGGCAGTGTGTGTATGGGGGAAAGTGTATATATGCGGGGAGCACTGTGTGCATGGGGCAATGTGTGTGAATGGGGGGGCTGTGCATGTGTGTGGGGCAATGTGTGAATGGGGGACTGTGTGGGGTGGGCAGTGTGTGCAGTGTTTGTATATATGGGTGACCAGTGTATGTGTGGGGGCAGTGTGTGCAGTGTGTGTGTGTGTGTATATATGGGTGGGCAGTGTATTTGTGTGGGGGCAGTGTGTGCAGTGTGTATGTGTGTATATATGGGTGGGCAGTGTATGTGTGTGGGGGGGCAGTGTGTGCTGTGTGTGTGTGTATATATGGGTGGGCAGTGTATGTGTGTGAGGGCAGTGTGAGTGTGTATATATGGGTGGGCAGTGTATGTGTGTGGGCAGTGTATGTGTGTGGGGGGGCAGTGAGTGTGTGTATTTATATGGGTGGGCAGTGTATGTGTGTGGGGCCAGTGTGTGCAGTGTGTGTATGTATATGGGTAGGCAGTGTGTGTATGGGTGGGCAGTGTATGTGTGTGGGGGGGCAGTGTGTGTGTGTATATAGTGTGGGGCAATGTGTGTATGTGTATGGTGGTGTGGGGGCAGTGTGTGTATGGGGGAAAGTGTATATATGCGGGGAGCACTGTGTGCATGGGGCAATGTGTGTGAATGGGGGGGCTGTGCATGTGTGTGGGGCAATGTGTGAATGGGGGACTGTGTGGGGTGGGCAGTGTGTGCAGTGTTTGTATATATGGGTGACCAGTGTATGTGTGGGGGCAGTGTGTGCAGTGTGTGTGTGTGTGTATATATGGGTGGGCAGTGTATTTGTGTGGGGGCAGTGTGTGCAGTGTGTATGTGTGTATATATGGGTGGGCAGTGTATGTGTGTGGGGGGGCAGTGTGTGCTGTGTGTGTGTGTATATATGGGTGGGCAGTGTATGTGTGTGAGGGCAGTGTGAGTGTGTATATATGGGTGGGCAGTGTATGTGTGTGGGCAGTGTATGTGTGTGGGGGGGCAGTGAGTGTGTGTATATGGGTGGGCAGTGTGTGTATGTGTGTGGGGGGCAGGTGTGTGTGGGGGCAGTGTGTGTGCAGTGTGTGTGTGTGTGTATATATGGGTGGAGGCAGTGTATACATGTGTGTGCAGGGGGCAGAGAGTGAGGTGTGTATATATATATGGGTGGAGTGTGTGTGTGGGGCAGGGTGGGCAGTGTGTGTATATGGGTGGGCAGTGTATGTATATAGGTGGGCAGTGTATATATATATATGGGTGGGCAGTGTGTGTATATGGGTGGGCAGTGTATATATGCAGGTGGGTAGTGTATATATATATGGGTGGGCAGTGTGTGTATATGGGTGGGCAGTGTATATATGCAGGTGGGTAGTGTATATATATATGGGTGGGCAGTGTGTGTATATAGGTGGGCAGTGTATGTATACAGGTGGGCAGTGTGTGTATATGGGTGGGCAGTGTGTGTATATGGGTGGGCAGTGTATGTATATGGGTGGGCAGTGTATGTATATAGGTGGGCAGTGTATGTATATAAGTGGGCAGTGTGTGTATATGGGTGGGGGCAGTGTGTATGTAGGTGGGGGCAGTGTGTATATATAGGCCGGGGCAGTGTATGTGTGTGTGGGCAGTGTGTGTATATGGGTGGGGGGCAGTGTGTGTAAATGGGGGGCAGTGTGTATGGGTGGGGGCAGTGTGTATATGGGTGGGGGCAGTGTCTATGTGTGTATATATGGGTGGGTGGTGTATGCAGTGTGTATATATGGGTGGGCAGTGTGTGTATCTATGGGTCGGAGGCAGTGTGTGTGGGGGGCAGTGTGTGCAGTGTGTGTGTGTATATATATATGGGTGGGCAATGTGTGTATATGGGTGGGGGGCAGTGTGTATGTGTGTATATATGAGCAGGCAGTGTATGAGTGTGGGGGGTAGTGTGTGTATGGGCCTGCGTACCTGTACAATCTGATGATTTTCTCCCTCCATCTTCCTCCAGCAGCAGCAGGGCAGACAGGCTCCTCTTCTCACCCTCCATCTGCTGTTTGTGTGCTCCGCGTGAGAGGGAAGCAGGGGGTGATGTCACTTCCTGCCCTGCCTCCGATCCTCACACAGCACTGAGTGCTGCAGGGAGAGAGAGAGGAGACCTGGCAGTGAGAGGTGTGCTGCCAGGTCTCTCACTGGATGGGGGGGGGTATTAGCAGAGTGATGGGTTGCAGGGGCCCTTCGAGGCATTATGGGCCCCCTGCAATCTTCTTACAGCACTTTTTTTTGCACAACTTACTTCTCGCCGAGGAGATCTCTGATCTCCACAGCAGAAGCATGGCTGTTCTGCCGGGCCCCCTGACTGCCTCGGCCCTCAGTCCATGACCGATCTGCCCGACCTGTCAGTCCGCCTCTGCACAAATGCACCCTGACACACACAAACATTGATACATGCACACACCCTAATATACAGATGCACATTCACAGATGTGCATTCGCACAAAGGCACATACATAGATGTGTGCACACACACTGACAAAAGTACACTGACATATATACTCACACACATGCACACACTCATAATACACACACACACACACACACAAGTGATATTTTTATATTAAGGGGTTCCACGTAGTGTATAGGTTGACATGTTTTTGGAGCTCCCTTATGTAAGGTTCTCCAAACAATGGGCCTTTGGCAAGAGGGCCTAATTCTTTGGAACCAAGGTCGGAGAGCTTGGCATCCATAAGCAGCAGCACTGCTTTTCTAGAGAGACACGTTTGCATTGCCCAGCAGGCATATGGAACGTGAAGCCCATTCTCGGATCACAGTTGGGTCTAAGGTTCCCTCTTGAGAGAGGGCCTCTTCAGCCAATAGTAGGATTTTGGCTATTGGTCCCAGTATATCTAGGAACTTCTCTTGTTTCAGACGGAGACTGCGCTCCCCGCCTTTCCGTGGGTCACGGCCAGTCCTGGCCAGGTAGGTGTGCACAATTCTGTCAAATTCCAGGGTCATTGCAACCTTGTCTGGAAGGGATGGTTTGGGACATTCCGCTCTCAATCACTTGCGGACGTCACGGTGCAGGGGTCGTCTGATCCAGAAATGGATGTATTGAGCCAGATGATCCGGTAACTCCCATTCTGGTGTGGATCAAACACTGGTTGAACTGCGGTATCCATGAAAACGTCTGCAGCACCGGATGGTGTTGGCAAGGAGGTTGGATCCTCCAAGGTGGGGTTGGTGATCCCTTCTCCAGAGAAGGATGTCACTCTAAAGCTTGTCGGCCTCCTCATCAGATTCTAACTGATCCGCTTGCCATTCATCCAATGGCATCTTCCTCTTCTTCAGACAGAGTAGGACGGACCTAGAGTCTCTGCTTAGTATTCTTTTGCTTTGGACACTTTGCTGGCGCCTTACCCTTGCGGTTAGGGGTTCTGGACCATGCTCTTTCCAATAGAGTTTTTGCGGTTTGTGCACTCTGGGTGGGATCTGAGTCCTCCGATTCTTCAGCAGAGCGTAGTGGCTCATAGGAGGCTCTGTCCTTAGGATCCACAGGAAGGACCCATGACAGGGCCTTTTCCACAGAAGCAGCCACTGCTGCATTAATAAGCGCCTGGAGATTTTGGTCCTGGGCAGAGGAATCCATTACTTTATCCAGTTCATCTGAGGGTCAGAATAGGCTATTATTAGAAATAAGGACCAGTGCGCAATATCATATGTAATGAATTTAGCCACGTATATATAACTGGGGCTCACCCAGTAGAAATCCTCTGGGTGTATATAGACCCTTAGGGAGGTAGTGGGGCACAGGCAAAGCAGGCCAATCAGATAGCTGTACCAGAGACAGCACAATCAAATACTGACCAACATAAATATATCCAATAGGGTGGTCATAATATATAGGGGGCTCACCCCCTTACAATATCACCGAGATGTAGAAGTGGCTCAGAGTGGAAATAAACATTGGGGCTCACCCCAGTATATGTATTGTGGCAATAGTAGGCACTCTGAGATAATGAAGGGTCAGATGAGGAGGATTCACACTCCAGACCCTGTAGTGTTATATGCAGGAAGATGGTTAAAAATCCTGGGAATAAGTATGGTTTACTGGACAACCAATAAATAGTGGACTGTGCCACTGAGGGAACCAAGTAAGTATTGAGTGTTTGTCAGAAAAAGCAAACTAGGTATTTAATGTAAGACTCCCAAGAATTACTATAATAAATAATAATAGGAAAAGAACTGCAGCTCAATATACTCCTGGCAGTTCAAAACACCCACAGAAACATAACTGTAGCAGCGCAGAATGCGCCCCCGGCGGATTGCGGAATTCTTCCGCCGGTCATGCGCAAACTAGATGATCAGCGTGCCCTATATAATCTGTGCGGATCGCGGACACAAAAAAAATGGCCAAGATGGCCACCGGGATCTCGCGCAACAGCATAAGATCCAAGATGGCCGCCGCAAGAGAGACGTATCATCTGAGGCGTTCTCTGCGGTCCCAAAAGCCTGGGAAAATCTTGGCAGGCTAGAGGCCTGCCGCGATTCCGGACAGCAAAGAGAGAAGGTACCAGATAACAAAAACAGTCCCAAAACAATACAAATAGACTCCCTTAATAATGTACCATGAGAAAAACAGAGGTAAAATGAAAATAAGAGAAGAGAAATATAAAAGGAAAGTATGAGTATTTGAAAAAAACAAGACATACCTCAGAAAACAGTAAGGGAAACAATAAAATAAAGACAGTAACATAAAAGGCTAGAATTACAGAAAATAAAGGTTAAACTTTATTTATCTGACGTCATTATGCAGACATCTCATGTGTAAGCTATATACGTTTTTTGGCGCCCTCTATAGACATCATTACGTAGACGTTATGGGCAGCTTGTGAAGCTAGGATAATTCAATAGTCCATATGTATCACCAATAGTGGTGGTGAAAAAGAAGAATGGTTCAGTAAGATTATACATCGACTATAGAACTTTAAATAAAAACTTTTTCCTGATCAATATAGGCTGCAGCGAATAGACGATCTCCTGACTTCTTTGTCTGGATGCAAGTGGTTTAGTCTGTTGGACCTCGGTACTACCAATTTCCAATGAAAATTAGGAGAAAACTGCTTTTATATGGCCTGTGACGGAGCTCCCTGTACCCCGGCTGGGTACCTCCACCAAGCTCACTTCCTGGGACACCTAAAGCGCTTCTGCCCCAGTTACCGAAGCTTGACTGGGGTCTTTCCGGAGCTCTTCCAACCAACCAGGCTGCAGCTCTCCTTACAGGCAGGTATCATCCCCTCTGCCTATTCCGCTGCAGCTTTCTTCTAGGCAGGGATCATCCCCTCTGCCTATTACACTGCAGCTTTCCTTCAAGGCAGGTATCGTCCCCTCTGCCTATTCCTCTGCAGCTTTCTTTCCAGGCAGGTATCGTCCCTTCCACCTTTTCCTCTGGAGCTCTGCTTATAAGGCACTTGTACTTTCAGGCCTAGCTCTTTTGATTTATCCCAGGGCTAGAGGGATCATGTAGCCAGCCAACAGTGACAGAAGACTTTGTCACTGGGATCCCTAAAAATCCACACAGGACACAAGTTTCAAAAGGAACTAACATCCAAAACTTTATTTTTACTTGGGACTAGCCCAGATTTTCATTACATATAGATTACTGTGACAACTCAATAAATACAAACAGTCAAATCATAGCAGACAACATATAGAAACTTATGATAACACAATGCCATGTTTATAAAGGGGTGGGGAGATAATTAACATAAAATATCTCTCCTGCCTGCAGAATTAGCAATATGCAAATCTACCTGAATATGCAAATTAGCAAACCTTGCTATACAGGTAGTGCATATCAGTGTTGCTAGATTCTTGCAACCAACAGGTGGCGCTGTACAGGCTCCACAGCCAAATCCACCTAGTTGATTGCAAGCATAAGCAAGATAGTAGAGCACATTAACATTTAACCCCAAACAACCACATTACACACACACATCCTGCACCCACAATGGACACAGGGTGACTTAAACATACGAATCATTCAGATACCCAATTGAATTGTCCATCTTAAGCTCTTGGTGATGGTGACTACCATCACATGCCCCTTATGATTCTTTCAATTCACTTGCATGCCTTAAGGTTGTGCTGGAGCTCCTGCAACCTTTAAACAATTAATGGAGAAAACCCTAGGAGATATGAGCCCCAGGGAGTACCTGGTCTACATGGACGATTTAATCATGTTTTTGGCAAAACCCCTGAAGAGCATGAAAAGCGGCGGTTATGGGTCGTTTCCAGAAAGAAGGCCTAAAGATGTCAATAGACAAGTGTAAATTTGCTCAGAGATCAGTGACATATGTTGGACACATCATGTCAGCTGAGGGTGTAGCCACAGACCCATCCAAGAAAAATGGTTGTCAACTGGCCTGGGCCAAGCAACATTAAAGAGTTGTTTTCATTTTTGGGCTTCTCTGGTTACTACTGTTGTTTTCTAGACGCTTACTCTAAGATAGCACAAAGTCTTCATGATCATCTGAAGGTAAAACAAGGGAGAAGAGCCCTCATTCTAAGAAAAGTGGACTTCCAAGTGTGAAGAGGCCTTTCATTTCTTCACGTTCGCGCTATTCCCACTGTTTTTTCGGGCCTTTTCGTGGGGGTAGGCTCCTTGTATTCATGTGTACATCTTGTGTATTAATACATTATACATTCGTTTCAATTAATGTACAAATCTTTTGTGTATAATGCCTTTAACTTTCGTGTTTATTTGTTTCAATTTGTGTAGAAATTTTTCATGTATAATAGCTTTTACTTTCATCTCAACTCGTGTATAAATATTTTGTGTATAATGCCTTTTTCATTTGTGTCAATTAGTTTCTATTTGTGTATAAATCTTTTGTGTATAATGCCATGTACTTTCATTTCAATTAGTTTTAATCCGTGTATAAATGCCTTTTACTTTCGTGTCAATTAGTTTCTATTCGTATATAAATCTTTTATGTATAAATGCTTTTACATTCATGTCAGTTCGTTTCAATAGTGTCTATTCCCTCCAATTCATTTAAAAAATATTTAGTGCAAAGACCTTTCAAACCTTACATTCAGGTCAATTTCTTTAACAGATATTTTGTGTAAATTCGTTTTGTTTCATTCATTTTTAGGTTCAATTCGTTTATTATATATTACAAAGATGAAGTACAATACTTCAGTAAAGTTATGACTGTTTCTATACACATTATTATTATTATTATTATTATTGCCATTTATATAGCGCCAACAGATTCCGTAGCCCTTTACAATATTTTGAGAGGGGGGATGTAACAATAAATAGGACAATTACAAGAAAACTTACAGGAACAATATGTTGAAGAGGACCCTGCTCAAACGAGCTTACAGACTATAGGAGGTGGGGTATTAGAAACATTAGGACAGGAAATATCAAGTAGGAGTAAAGCAGAGCTGGAGGATATATATATAATCCTACGGTACCCATATATCTCTCCTCTACAACCCCTTTCAAAAACTTGCTTGACTGTTCAGATCACCCAGAGTTACAACTCCTCTCCTGATTTGTTTCATGCCCTCTTGGAGCCTGTCAATACGGTAATTGCTAACTGGACAACTACATTTTCCTGCAACTCAACCTTCTCCATAACACGCATTTTATTTTTCCTCCTTTGAAATACAAACCCTTGCTGTGAGACTTCCTTAGTAGTACTCATATCTAGTCTATAAGAATTTCGTAATGTTTACCTTTTCCAAGCAAGATGCGACTAAGGCACTTGTTCAAGAGCCTTTTTCCTCCCCTTGATTACTGCATATAACTCCTTCTCAGATCCTCAAAGATGACATTAGATCACCATAGGATGTTCTGAATCCTGCTGCCATGCTTATCTTCTAGCTGTTCCTCTCACACCTCACCCCTTCACCAGTGCTTACACTGCAATGACTTTCGAACCCATTTCATATTGCCAACACTAAACTATAGACCTTTAATAACTCTGTCTGTCACTATATTTGCACTCTAATTCAGGAGTACACAACTTTTCAATTTGTGTCTTATTCCTCTCTTTTCTCATGCCCTATCTCTCCCGGCAAGAACCTGCATTGCCACAGTCCATTTCACTCTCACAGTTTCCACTCTGAAGGTTTCTCACATATTCTTATTCACAGTTGTAACGATTTAAAGGCAACACAAGCACTGCATTCAATATGTCCTACAGATCTGTGCCAAAGGGTGTAATATGTATTTTCACAGGTTACAGTGCAATGTCGTAAGATTATAAATATCTGTAGGTCTGATATTTATGTTTTGACAAGCATATATCGTATACACTTCTATAATGCTTCCAAAGAAATTAGTGTCACTTTTACAATCTGAACGGCAACGCGGGGTCAATTAACCCCTTAAATATTGATCAAGTAGCAAACTCACTGGTGGGAGCCTTAATTTAGCACCAGAACGGGGGCTGTATACATGAATGATTATAGATAAATGTAAATTGTCACATACATACTAATACAAGTAAATGCCCAGTGTCGAATACAGGTTCATTTGTGCAACCGCGATCAGATGCTCCATGCAGCCATCGAGCATTCAAGCGAGTGCTATAACATATTCGAAGAACATTCTGGTAAATACAACCGATATTT